GCCCTCACAGCACGGGAGGTGGGGTGGGCCTGGCAAGATTTCAAAACCTGAATTATTTATTCAAGGATCTGGAAAGCCAGCAGGGTGGTGGTGGTGGTGGGGGCACTTCCCCGAAGCAGCAGGAGCCGGGAGCCGGGAAAAACTCTGAAGCAGAAAACCTGGCAGCTCAGTCCCTAGGGCAGGCACCTCTCAACCACCCGTCTTAGGCACCCTGGCAGGATAGGGCACGGAGAAGGAGCTCCCCCTTTCCCAACCCCGCCTGTTCCCAGGGAACCTCTCTCAGCTGACTTCTCCATACGTGACAGATTTGGCTGGTCCTGGGGGAAGAGAACTGGCTTCTCTTCCTCCATCTCTAGCTTTGATCCTCACTGGAATCAACCAGACCTGTTGTGGGATGGGGGTGGGGGGCAGGGATCAGGTTAGGGCTTGAGGAAACCAGAGGGGCCCAGATTCCGGGCCCCACCAACTTCTCTTCCCAAAACAGAATCACTACAGCTCCCACAGTCAGTGTAGGGCAGGGGAAGGAGGTGGAAGGGTACATGGGAAGAGGAGAGGGTCAGGGCTGGGGAAGATAATGCACTTCAGATTGGATGTGGTGAGTTTGGGGTGTTTAGTAGGTAGATGTGGTTAGGAGTATAGACTGGGGTTCAAATCCCAATTCCTCCATTTCCTAGCTGTGTGACTTTGGGTGAATATCTTAGGCTCTTTGTGCCTGTTTTCTCATCTATCAGATAGAAAGAATGTTAGTATCTACTTTGTCAGGAGGAGCCTGGCACATTATCACCAGTGGCTGTATTGACTATCAGTATATCTGACAGGAGGAGACCTGGGAGGCACAGGTGTGCAGATTAGTGACTGAGGTTCTAGGGGTAGAGGACATCACCAGGGGAGGGAGCAGAGAGTGAGGAGGAGCCTCAGGGAACCTCACCATTGAGAGCACAGACTGTGGATGGGTGTGTTCCTGCCCCTGGGCCTTTGCACTGGCTAATCCCTCTGCCTGAAACTCCTTCACTTCACTCAGGTTTCTGCACCTAAATCACTTCTTCCAGAGCAAGCTTTCCTGACATTTACTCTAGATTACTACTCCCCTTCCCATCACTCTCTCCTCCCTTTCCTTGATTTTTTTTCAAGGAGATAAACCAATTTCACTATCCATCATTATGTTATACAAAAGTCTAGAAACAGGATTGTAGAACAAATAAATGAGAGGTAAATAAGAGGCAGCAGAAATAAGTTAAAATTGAATTATTTTTCCAAGTTATTGGGGTGAAATTGATTTATTATTTTTCAGAGCACTTAGTGCTCCTGAAATTATGAATTTATTCATGTGTATGTGTTTAAATATGTGTCAGCCCCATCAGAATATAAGCTCCATGAGGGTACAGATTTTGTTCTGTTCTGTCCCATCCTGGAGAACAGTGCCTGGCATATAGTGCGTATCCAATAAATACTTGTTGAGTGGATGATTAAACTAAACATAGCATCTAGAAAGAGAGAAGGAAAACTCAGAAAGAGTAGTAATTTGCACGTGTCAAGGTGTCAAGAAATTTGGGGGCATTAGAATACAAGGCCATCAGTGCCCCAGGACCCAGGTATCCACTTTCTCCCCCATCAGAGCTGGGTACCAATAACTATCCAGCTGGTCGCAGAGAAGCATGAAGTTTGCTGGGAAGCTGGCATGAAACAGTGTATGAGAGACTGTCTTCTGCTATTCTGAGTGGTGGTGATCCTTTTAATTTTTCATAGTTTAATAATCCTCTCATGAAAAATCTGCACAATCATCACAGATAAAGTCACTACTGAATCTCCACTCCTTTCTTTTTTTTCCCCCACCTTCCTTTTGCCAGCACCTACATTGGCCTTTGTGGTCCCCTGGACCTCCTTCATTCTGTTCTCGTGTTCCGTATGTTGTTTCCTTGAGTTCTTTTTCTTCTCAGGCAGGCCATGTCTTGCAGGGCTATGCTGATTTATTTTTCTTGCATAATCCAAGGAATCGCAAATCATGCCCAAGCCAGTTGTCTTGTCACCACCAAAATGGGTTGTGACTCCAAATATAAAGATGACATCTGGTGTGGTCTTGTAACTTTTGGCTAGTTTTCCCCGAATTTCTGTCTTGGGTACTGAGTTGCCCTTCCAGGGTAAAGAACATTGATGATCATGTTTCCACTGAAGTAGCTGGTTGGCCAGAATTCCCTGACCCAGATAATTATAGTGTCATTTGTGATGGAGGCGATCCTCAGGCATCCAGGGAGAAGACTGTAGTGATATTTCTAATCATAGAAACCCCAGAAACTCAAGAGACTCAAGTGAGGCTACAGATTTTCACATGAACACTCTCTTATGCTCCAAAACTGCCCCATGTCTACAGGACCATTGAAGCCATCACTGCCAACCAGGTCTCTCTTTCCCAAAGATCAGCTGCCTAGGGGAAGGGGCAGCCCATCCTCCTCTCTCCTCCTCATGCCCTCTGCCCTGCCTCCTTGATTCATTCCCATCACTGACACCCCCTCCAGTCCTTCTTACCCACCAGGTGCCAACTCGAGAGCCCAGTGCTTATAATAATCCTGCATCCTCGTTTCATAGATGAAGCCCAGAGAAGCCAAAGGACTTCCCCAAATCACACAGTAAATGGCAGAGCTAGGATCAGAAGTCAGTCTCTCTATAACCAAATCCAGTGTGTCTTTCATTCTAGCTTAGCTGTCACCATCTCCCCAGAAGGGACTGAAAGTGAAGTTTGACTAGGGCTAACAATGCTTGCAGTTCCCCAGGTGACCACGAGATGGCTGGGAGCGCTCACTTCCAGGTAAGACTTTACCTCTTTTCTCTTCAACCTGGAGAATCCTGTCCACTTAGGCTCTGAAGAGAGGTGTGTGTGCGAGAGACACAGGTAATATCCACACAAACTCCTTGTCCAAGCCCCCAAATATGGGCATCATCAATGCATTCATTCATAGCATAGACCCACTCATTCGTTCAGCCAATATTCACTGACAGTTCCCCTGGGCTTGAGTTTGAGTGGGTGCCACAGACAGAGAGATGATCTGGCCATATCCCTGCATTTTCAACATTCAGTAAATATTTATTGAGCATATACTGTTTTCCAGGTACAGTTCTAGCACAGAGGATACAGCAATGAACAAAAATCACTTCCTTCCTCATGGAGCTTCCATCCCAGTGGGGAGAGATGGACAATATACAAGTAAGTAATGTGATATTAAGTAGGGAGACTTTGAGGATCTCACAGACCAGCAGGACAGACAAACATGTACATGGCCACAACATGGTAATTGTGGTTATTTAATAAGCACCTACTTAACTTTTATGTGTGCAGGTGAAGGTAAACATGGTTCCTGCCTTCATGGAACTTATAGCCTAGGAAACAAATGAGTAATTAAGTATACAGTTGATACATGTTCTGAAGGGAATAGGAAGTGTCATGATGTAGAATAACAAACCAGGAGACCTCTTTTAAGTAGGGAGGTGATGGAGCAAGTCAGTTGATGAGAGGATAGAGTTTCAAGGAGAGGACACAGCAGGTGCAAAGTGTGAGGAGGAAAAGAGTTGACGCATTTGAGGAATAGAGAGGAGGCTAGTGTGTCTGAAGCCAAATGAGGCAAGAGGAGAGGTAGGAGTTGAGCTCAGAGAGGTGGGCAGGGGGAAGATCATGTAAGTCTTGGAAAGCAGTGAGATGAGAGCCATTGGTGGGCTTAAACATGGGAAAATGTTGTGATTTGACTTACATTTTCAAAGGATCACTCTGGCTACTGAGTGGAGAACAGACCGGAAGTGGGGAGCAGAAGCAGAAGCCCTACCAGGAGGCCACTGCAGTCACCCAGGCAAGAGATGGTGAGAGGATGAGGGCTTGGGTGCAGTTGGGACAAGTGCTGCAGCAGCTCAGCCTGGCTCTGGGACAGTTATAGAGGGCTTCCTGCAGGAGGTGGTCTCTTAGTGGTGTCATGAAGGATTAGTTTGCCAGACATATGGAGTCAGGAGAAGAGAAGGAACCTCCGGGAGAGAGAATAGCTATAGGATAAAGGCAAGGAGGTACAAAAGAGGGTGTGTGTTCAGAAGGGGCTATTCTATTTTCTCAGAGAGTAAAAAGGTGTTTGGGTGAGCACAAGTCATGCTGTAGAGATTTCTAGAACCAGGAATCAAAGGGTCGTGGAGACCAAGCTGAGATGAAAAGTTGTTTCATGGTTGAATTCATATTTTCAGGAGAGCTCTGCACTGTGAAGGCTGACTTGGGGAGGGGCCTGGAGGCTGAGAGGCAGTGAAGCCAGCAAAGGGAAGGTGAGGGAACAGGAGCCAGGGGATACGTAGAGGCAGAACCTGCAGGACTTCAGCCTGGGGCCTGAGACAGAGGGAGGGGGTGAAGATGTGACCATGGTTTGCAGTCGGGTGCCAGACAGACACGGTGCGTTGAGGGGAAGAAGAGAGGAGGGTGCAAGGGATGAAACGAGGTGGGGCTGCGAGAGCCTAGCGGTCGGTCCTAGCTGTCGTAGAGCTCGGTTGGAGGACGCCCTTGATACGGCCCCGCCTGCACGGAATCTGGAAGTCAGGAACGTGACCTCACTTAAAATCCAGTTTTTGCCACTGACTCTGTGACCGACTAGTCACTCATTTTGTGAGCCTCAGTTTCCTCACCTGTGAAGGAAGAGTAATAACTCAAGAGTTTTCGCGAATTTGCTGGTGGAGATATCCAGGGACCAGGCCGGCAACTAGTCCTGGACCCCGCCCCCTTTAGTCTGAGCCGGGACCCAGACCATCAAACCTGGCGCCCACCAGACCACGCCCACTAGCCACGCCCTATATGGCTCCGCCTCAGACCACCAAGCACCGCCCACCTGCACACGTCACTAGCCCCGCCCAGAGTGACCCCGCCCACCTGGCCTTGCCCCGGGTTGCCTGGGTCTCGCTTCCCACACCCCGGCGGAGCTGAGTCAGAAGGGACACGCCACACTAGCTGTCCGCCGACCCCCCCAGGCCCCGCCCCCGCGCCCATGGCCGCACCGGGACCCCGCGCCTTACGGGCTGCGCTCTGTGGCGGCTGCTGCTGCCTCCTCCTGTGTGCCCAGCTCGCTGTAGCTGGTAATGCGAGCCAGGGTCTGGTTAGGGGACCGGGCAGCGGCAGGTGGAGCGTGCCCTTAAACCAACTGCCTGCCAGGAGCAGTCTGGGTTTGAGGGACGGGAGGGGACTTCCCAGATGTGCATAGGGCTCCAGGGGTGGGTAGAAGGGGAATCCGGCTGTGTGTGGAACCCTGTGTGTATATATGGGCTCCAGGTGTGAGGAAGCTTCAGGTGTATGAGAGTGAAGCAGCCCCAGGTGTGTCTGGGGGCTATTCCAAATATATCTGTGAACCTCGGGAGTATGCAAAGGGAGAGGCCTCTGGGTGAATGTCAGCGAGGTTCTACATGTGTGTAACCATGTGTTTTTGGAAACTCCAGGTGTGTCGTGGGGCTTAAGGGATCCAAGTGAGTGTATGTGTGCAGAGGGTTGAGACTCACAGTAGTGGGGAGGAAGGGAGATGTAGCTTGGGTTCAAAGTGTTGCTCCCACCTCACTCCCAGGTAAAGGAGCTCGAGGTTTTGGAAGGGGAGCCCTGCTCCGCATGAACATCTGGCCAGCTGTCCGAGGGGCCTGCAAACAGCTGAAACTCTGTGAGCATTGTGTAGAGGGGGACAGAGCACACAACCTCTCTGGCTGCGTGTGGGAGCAGTGTCAGCTGGAGGAGCCAGGTATGGAGTTAGACCTTCCCCAGGTTGAGTGCCTCCAGTTCTGAACACCAAGTCCTTGGCCCCTCTCCCTAAACCTCTTCCCTGCACCTTCTCCCACCAGGACACTGTGTGGCCCAAGATGAGGTAGTCAAGGAAGGTTGTTCTGTCTTCAACCACTCAGAGTCATGTCCAGGTAAGGGGGCTCCTGCTGGCCTAAGCTAAGTTGGAGGGAGGAGGGTGAGATGTCCCCAGCCAGAGCCAGCCCTCCAATGAGGAATCAGCCTCTCCTAGGGAGTGGACTATGCCCACGAACACCTGGGTCCAATTTCAGTTCTGCTTTTGGCTCAGAGAAAAGTTCCTTCCCCTCTCTGGCTCTGTTTTCCAGAAGACCCAGGATAAGTGTATGGAAGGGATGAAGGAGTTAACTCTTCTATTTTAAACCATAGTGACAACTTTGGAAGTTCATAAAGGAATAGGAGGAGGGCTTCCTGGAGAAGGTGGCATCAGAGATGACAAAGATAGAGAGAGGGCATAGCTGGTGGAAGGAATTGTGTGAACTAAGACATCAAAATTACATTGGGTGGACTTCGACCTGGACAGAGGACCTGGTCTGAGTAAAAAGTCCAGCTGTTGGCCTGGGTTGGGGTCTTGATGGTATGTTGGGGATGAAGAAGGGAGCCTGGTTTATTATGGATTCCCTGTCTCTTCAGCTGTGCGCTACCACCCAACTTATGAACCAAAGACAATCACAACAGGTAGGTACTTCCTGGGGAAATGGGAGGTGCAGGGAAAGCCAGAAATGGGCTCAGGCACTAACATGCTCTTTGACCTAAGCCCTGTGGCTTCTCCCTCTGATCCTGTTTCCACATTTGTAAAATGTGTTGGATAAAACCTCACAAAGTTGCTATGAGGATTTTATGAGAGGGTATATAGCATCTAGTTCAATTTCTGATGCATGGGAGGTGATCAAAAAATGATGGTTCCCAACCCTTCTCCCCAATACCAGTTCTGAGAACTCAGGATGACCCCCTCAGGACCTGAGGGTGCTGAGGGTGTATGGCTCAGGTTGCCAAGGAGATGTCCTCAGTGCCTACCTACTGCAACCTCCCGGCTCAGAGAGGGTCATAAAGCAGTTTCCCAGCAGAACAGAAGCAAAAACCCCACCCCTTGGTTCCCACTGCCCCTCAGGACCCAGAGGTCAGCAGCCTTGGCAGGGATAGCTGAAGAGGCTCTTGGTTAATTAAAGCCAGAAATGTGATCTCAAGGGCTGAATTATTGATGGCTCAGCTCCCTCCAGCTCGAGCCTCAGATCGGCCTTATGCAGCTCATTTCTTCCCTATTCTGCTCCTCTTTCCTCAATGCCCTTCTCTGGGGTTCACTGAGCTGCAGCTGGGACCACCCTTTGCCTTTCATATTCTCAGATCCCTTTCCACAAGCTACACCCTCTGAGAGGCCGACCCAGCTCCCAGCTGGGCCTCTTTCACTGCCCTAGAAAGATCTTCCACCACCAGCCCTGCCCTACCCTGGGCACCTGGCCCAGGGCCTGAAATCGAATCCCTGGTGGGAGTTGATGGCTAACATGGCACAGCTGGGAGCCACCCGGATGTCCTGGCAACCATGGGCCCTGAGGCAGGGCAGGGGAAAGGGTCAGGGGATTCTGTGTGAGTCTGGCTCTGCCCTAACTATGAGGTGACTTTGGACAGTCCTGGAGCTCAGAGCCCAGCTTCTCCCTCTGACCTACACCACCTAGACTTCATTTATCCTCTTAGTAGGGTTGGGCCTCCACTTCTTCCTCTGCTCCTTCCCCCTTTAAGTAAGGGCTCTGGCATTGGGTGACTCCAGAGTCTCAGGACTTAGGAGTCATGAAAGGAGATTGCAGCATCTGTATCTGGGCTTCAAACCCCAAGATCCAAGGCTGAAAGGGACTCTGAGCTAAAGGGAGGTGAATGCCCAAGTTCTGGGTCTATCCTCACCCTGTTGGGCCAGTAAGTGAGTGGGAGGCTGGCAGGGAGCTCAGTCACCATCTGGTCCCTGCAATCAGGAGGCCCAGAGAGGGTGTGAGAGGCATCAAGCCACAGGGCAACTTAGGAGCAGAGCCAGGACTGGAGCCAAGGCCCCTCCATCCCCAGCCAGGCACTGTCCTTCCCACCAGGAACTTCCCAACTGCCCGTAGGATATGGGTTGAACTTCTGAGCCTGCCGCTCAAGGCTCCCATGGTGAGGACTGGGGCCTCCTGGTGACCTGTGCCAGGTGTTGGGGTGAGGCTAAGATCTTGGTCCACAGTGGCCTGCTGTGACCTCCACCCTGCAGAGAGCCCCCAGGTCCCCGAGGCCCACAGCCCTGGCTTTGATGGGGCCAGCTTCATTGGGGGCGTCGTGCTGGTGCTGAGCCTGCAGGCGGTGGCCTTCTTCGTCTTGCGCTTCCTCAAGGCCAAGGACAGCACCTACCAGACCCTGTGAGTACCTCTTCAGCCAGCCGAGGGCTGGCTCACTGCCCTTGCCCACCTCTGGCCCCTCAGGTTGCCATTAGTGGCAGTGCACTGTCTTCTCAATGGGGCAGCCTTAAGGGCAATGACTCCCAACCTCCCCTATGTGAGCAGCACCCCTTCTCCCTCCTCCAGTTGTGAAGTTCTCTCTGCTGGGTGTTGGCTGGGGCAGGACTCAGCCTGGGCCCGGCTGTCACAGCCCAACGAAGCCTACCTGTCTTTGTCCCCTCATGCTGCCAGCAGGGAGGAGAACCAGTAGGTGACAGCCCAGGCAGCCTTCCACCTGCAGCTCTGTGGCTGCAGGCAGGAGCCTGGGCCATGTGTGCGGTTTGGTTTTCCTCTGCGAAGGGGAGTTGCTCTGAGGCCCCGTGTGCTGTGGCCCCTGTGTGCTGTGGGGTTGATGGCTGCAGCCTCCATTAAAGTGCTTGCTCTTTCGGCTGCTGCCTGCTCTCTGGGGATGGGAGTCCTTGGCCCAGCTGAGAGGGGGCCACCTCCCTGAGTGCCCTCTCTGTCTGGCCTCTGTAGAATTTGATCCCCTTCAGGCCTGGATTCCACACTCAGGGGGAAGAGGATGAAGAGGCTGCCCTCTTGACCCCCTTGTGGACACTGCGGGTGGGAAAAACTTTGACCACCAAATTCTGGCTCCTGTGGGCATTGAGCAGGCTCAGTGCCCAATACCTGCATCCCCTCCTGTCCTGGGCCTGGAACCTGCAGCTGAGAGCATCCTTCAACCGCCTCCGTTCTCATCCATCGTCCCTGCAGGCCCCTTGCCTGGTATTAGGTCTGGGCCTGCCTCTTCCCATTGACCTGGCCTGGACACTGCCCTCAAATAAAGGAGCTCTTTCCAGCACTGTGTTTTATGTCCCATGTCTTGAGCCGTGTGTGGATTGGACAGGGTTAGGGCACAGCCACTGTCCTCTCCTTAATGGGAATTCAGCCTCAGGCTGTTGTTGTCATCTTTTAATATATTGTCCTTTGTTATATGTGTTTAATTGCCTCCCTCCACTGCTTTATAGATGGGGGTACAGAGACTCAGATGGGTGAGCACTCCTGCTCAAGATCGCACCGAGTGGGATGGGGCAGGGCTGGGATTGAAATGCAGGTTTTTCTGACTCCAGAATGACAGAGCTTCAGAACTCATCTGCAGAGGCACCCCTCTTTTGGTGCTCTTTTGGCTTCTAAAGTTAGGTTTCTGCCCCAGGGCCAAGATGGAGATGCCCTTGGGACCCTCTACAGCCATTTTTGTGCTTCTGGCTTTCCTCATGCAGGCCTTCCTGGAAAGCCCCACCTCCCCCAAAGCCCCCTCACCCGTGCCCACCTCCCCCTCTTTACCCCGCCATCCCTGGGCCCAGAAGTCTTCCTGGACAAATAACATCTCCCACCGATGGGGTACTTGCTGGAAACCAGGCATGTGGCTAGGAATCTGACATCAGTCTCTGATTTAGTCCCAGGATTGTCCTAGGAAGCTGTAAAGGCAACAGAAGGGAATAGGCAAGTGTTCAGCCTGTGGAACCCCAGTGCTCTAAGTGAACTGGAGCAAGTTATTTAATAGCTCTGGGCCTCTGCTTCATGTGTAAAGTCGGGTAACAGCAGTATCCATCTCAGTGAGATGTGGGAAAGTTTCAGAGCAGGCACATGTGCTCCGTCTGCTTCATTGCAGGGCACCCATCCACCCTTCCAGCTGCGCGGTGTCCAGGTCAGCCACCTGCCCCTCTTCCTCCGCAGGGCCTAGCCTTGCTGCAGGGTCTCTGGCCACAACTAGAAGGGCTTTGAGGGCCCCTGGGGTCCGCAGGTATTTCCAGCTACTATGGGGCCTCACAGAGGACTCACCTGCTTACACATCACACACCACAGACAATACCAAACACCGTCCACCGCCTCATCCCTCCCCCTCCACACTCACTTCCAGCGAAACCCCCCATAGACTCAGACATCAGTCCCCCTCCAGCCATCCGGATCTACCGCTTGTTACCCGGCCTGCCTTGCTCTCTCTCTTCTCCAAGCCTCTGCACCCGCAGTTTCTCCTGCCAGATTCACCCTCCCCTGGCTTCTCCATGAAGCACTTAATCCTGGCAGGGATGATGCCCGTTTTCTCCGGGGCTGAGGGAGGAAATGCCCGCACCTCCTTCTGCCTTCCGCCTAGTTAAGGAAATTTCTTGATTGGATGTTTTCTTTTTCAAAAGTAGTAAATGCTTGTAAGGAACCAAAGGACTATATATAAGTTTATATAAAGAATGAGAATCACTCTCCCCCGGTCCCACTCCCCAGAAATAACTATGCTTAACAGGATGCGTCAGACCTTTTTCTATGAATTAACCTACAACATACACACCTACACACATTTAGCTTTTTTAAAATACAAAGTGAGAACACGCTTTACATATTGTTCTGCAACTTCGCCCCTTTTGTTATAGATCAGATTTGCCCTATGACTTGTCCCGATGGTGATAATTTATTTGCCTGCATCCTATCCATGTCCAAGTGGGTTATTTCCACTTTGGTTATTATAAACAGCATCATGATAAAAGAGCTTGTCCACAGATCCTTAAACACCTGTGAGAAAGTGTGGGGAGGACAGATTCCTAGAGCTGGAATTGCAGTCTCAGTGTCCATCTCATGGACCCATCCTGCCTGGCAAACTCAGCCTCCACTTTCCCCAACACCCCCTCTACCTCAGCCTTCCCCACCCCGACAAGCACTGGACTTGGCACAAAGGAAGCCCTCAGGGAGGCTTGATGAATGAATAAATGAGTGAATGAATGAATGAGCCTTTCCTCCCTTCCCCTATTATTAGAGGCTCCTCTCCAGCTCAGACCTCACCCCTCACAACTGGACCAAGGCTACTACCTCCTCACTGGCCTCCCAGCTTCCACACCTGCCTTGCATGTTCTGCCCATGCCATGTTAGCAGACGTTTTCTAGGCACTCCTGGTGGCTCCTCAACGGACCTGAGGGTAGGCATGAAGTCACCTTGCAAGGGGTGCTTCTCCTTGGTAAGGGGAATGGATTGGGGCAAAATCTCTGTGGTTCTGGGCATATAAGTGCCAGAGAGAACACAAGTCATATCCTGTCTCTGGGCTTCAGTTTCTCCTTGTTCATTTGTTCATTTAACCAACATTTATTGAGCATCTGCTTTGTACCTGCCTCTAATCTGGGGCCAATAATAACAACCGTGAGTGACGCTGTGTAAGGATGGGAGGTGATATTCAAACCGCACCCAGCAGGAGCCGTGGGGTGCAGTAGGTAGGTGCCCAACAGATGGTAGCGGTGGTCATCCCTGCTGCAGGTGACAAGGATTAAGGAACGATTCCTAGTGGAAATGGCATTAGCATTGGACCTTCACGGACAGGCGGAGCTTCATAGGGAGAGGAGGAGGATTACAGGTGGAAGGTACCGAATAAGCTAAGGTTCAAAGGTGGAAAAACTCATGTGAATCCAGAGGTCTGGAGAGATAGCTGTGGAGCCCTGGTGGCCAGGGTCAGAAGTTGGGCTCCACCGTGGTTAGACTAGGCAGGGATATGTCCGCTCTCTCCAGTGCTGAGGGAGAAAATGCCCCCATCTCCTGCTGGTTCTAGCCTGCATGGGGTGTCCCTGGGGAGGCAAATTGGGAGGAAGTCTTGCTTCATGGCCCCCCACCAGCCTGACCCCCATATAAACTGGCACCCTCCCTAAGGGGCCCCAGCAAGATGGGACCAGTGTGGCCCTCACTCTCCCTTTTGTTCCTCTTGTTGGAGACCCTGCCTGTCTGAGGACCCAGGACCACTCCAGCTGCCCAGGAAAGGGCCTAGGATGCCCTCCCCACCAACCCACCCTCATTCCCTCCCTGGGTATCCTTCTCTCACCCAGGCTCACTAGCTTCAAGGAGCAGGGTGGGGTTTGATAATCTGAGCTCTGCACAAAAATGTATGCAAGTAGATGCAAATGGGGAAAACCCTTGTCAGCTCTGGAGGCAAGTGTCCTGCCAGCTAGGATCTGGGAGAGGGAATGAGAAATGCAGCGGGTTCTGTGGGAGACATGCCTATTCCCCCCATGCCCACACAGCCCATGTCTCCCTGCAGAACCCAGGGAACTGGAAGCCAGCCAGGTTGTCTTCCTGCTAAGTTATCCTGGTGCCCTAGGAAGTTCTGGGGAATAGAGAGCTCCAGGTCCTCAAGGTGAGAAAAGCCAGCGGGTGGGGCAGGAACTTGGGGTAAACTGGGGAGGGTGGGGATGCAGCAATCACAGTCTGTGCTGAGAGGCCATGACAAAGGGGCAAGGAACCTACTGTGTGTCAGGCTCCAGGCTGGACACCCAGCATCCTAGGATTGACCCTGTGAGGTAAGTGGTATGATCCCCATTCTGCTGAGGGAGAAACTGAAGCTGAGAGGGGAGTCATTTGCCCTTATTCACAGAGCCAGTAAAGGGTACAGCTGAGATTTGACATCTGGCTCCAAATCCCTCAATGTTTTTTTTGGCTCCGGGCATGGGATGGGACTTAAGGCATCTCTGCCTCTGGGATTTCGGGGCAACCAGGACCACTGGGCAAGATGGGCTCCAAGGGTGAGCCTGGTGACTGTGTGGGACTGGAGTCTCCTCTCCTTTCTTTGCTCTGTCCCTGAACTAGAGAGAGGGATGTCTCTGCTTGGCTGCTGCTCAGGAGTTGGCTATGATTGCAGCAGGGGATGGAAGGCTGGGAGCAGTGGGGAGAGTTAGAAGAAGGGCCGGCCGATCTCCCCTCTGGTGGGTCATGGGCATTCCCTTGGGGGTACTCAGACCTCAGAGCCAACATTCATCTTTGCATGGGGCAGGAGACCCAGGGAAACTGCTCCAGTGCCACGAGGGTGAGGCTGCCTTTGCAGGAGCGAGGCACTTGGAATCAGACGGTGCTGGGGTGTTGGTGGACCACCAGGCGTGGCCCAGCCGGCCCCAAAACCCATCCTAAGGGGTCCAGAGGAGTCAAGAGGACTCCTGGGTTCCCACACTTGGCCTACTCCATTACCTGGGGTTTGTGTTGGGGAGTAACTGTAATTTGAGAGCCCCCCTGAGTCCCTCTCTCCTTCCCCAGGCCCCAGGTGCTGCCAGGATTGAGCAGCTGGTACCATCTACCTACCTACCATGTGCCTACCCAAGGATGGGACCGTCCCTGTCTTTTGTCACATGGACAGCACAGAGGACGGCTGGCTGGTGAGTGCCAGAGAGAAGGGACTTGCAGGTCAGGCCCAGTGGGCATGCCTTCCCCTTGGCCCCTAGGGGGAGCCAGAGCCTACTGGAGCCAAGGCATTCTTTAACACAATTCACTAACAAATGGTTACTGAGCTCCCAGAGGACCTGAAGAAGTTTGGGAAAGCTTCATAGAAGAGATGCCATTTGAAAGGGCTTTGAAGACTATGTAGAAGTTCTCAAGACATACGAGGTGCAGAAGGGCATTCCAGGCAGAGGGAAAGACAAATGCAGGGAGGCCGGAGAGTACAAGAAGGCATGGGGAGATGGTGTGAATGACCTGAGAGCAGGTGTGAGTGGTGGGCTGAGGTCTATTGGTGTGGGCCAAGCACTGAATGGCTGACTGAGGAGCATGGAGGGAAATAGGGAGCCATGGGAGAGTTTTGAGCAAGGGAGGGACCAGGCCAGACTTATGTTTTAGAAAGAAGACTCAGGCTGCACCAAGGAAGATGTATTGCAGTGGGGACCAGAATGGAGTTAGGGACACAAGTTAGGAAGGCTGTAGGGACCCTACCAGAACAAGCATGTGGGCAGTGGCGGCAATGGAAGTAGAGGCTCTTAGACTGAAAGATATTGAGAAAAGAAACTGTACAGGGCCTGGGGACTGCTTGGCTTGAAGAGGAAATTGGGGTTCAGAGGGAGCATCAGGGTAAGGCCTCTGGAGGTGACCTCTCTGCTCTAATATCTTGGTTTTATCATAATAAATTAAAGCATGTTATTTTGAATGTGACCCCCCCCCCCATCTCCCAAGGGCAGGGATGATATTTCTACCATTTCAGTCCTCCCAGGGCTTTCGAGGCTGCGGCGTGAAGTTGAGTGTCAGTAAGAGTTAATAAGGACATGCAGAGTTCATCAGTATAGTCACAGGCAAGGCTCACCTGGACACACACTTTATCAACAAGCCCTCAATCCAAAGAGGGGGCACATGGTGGGTGGGTATAGCTCAGTGGTACAGTGCATGCTTAGCATGCACCAGGTCCTAGGTTCAATCCCGAGTACCTTCATTAAAATTTGTTTTTAATTTAAAAAAAAGAGAGGGAGGCACATGTCCACCCACCCCTCACAGCACACACACTTCTCAGCTGCCACTGCCCCTGCTTCTCCTCATCCCATGCTCAGCCTAGAGAAATGGCTGCTATGCTAGCCTTCTCTGCCTCCCTAGATGTTAAAGAGGTGACAGGATGGTTCCATGGATTTCTTCCACTCTTTGTCCTCCTACAAAGCAGGTTTTGGGGGTCAGTAGTCTGATTTCTGGCTGGGGAATGAGAGGTTGCACCAGCTTACTCTCCAGAGTAGGTTCTCGACGGCTAGGGAGCCTGACGGGCATCCCTTTGGCATTCTGACTCCTCACCCAGGACATGAGGATTCTTCCCTGTCTGCCTCCCCAACCCCCAAGTACCTGGGAGCTGTGGATGGAGCTGGAGGACTTTAAAGGCAACTGCACTATTGCTCACTATGGGGCCTTCCGCCTCCTCAGGGAGGCAGATCACTACCAGCTGGTTCTGGGCAAGTTCTCAGAGGGCACTGCAGGTGAGTGAGCTAAAGGTGTGGCCCTGAAGTAGAAAAAGAAGGTGAGGGAGGCTGGATCCTTTCCCAGTGCTGCCACAGCCTCCAGGAATGACCCAGGGCACTTCCTTCCCCTCTGTGGGCCTCAGTTTCCTCATCTGCAAAACAGCAATCATCAGACAGGGATGTGAAGGAGTGAAGAAGCTGGGCTCTGGAGGCAAACAATCCTGAGTTTAAATCCAGCTCTGTCATTTATTAACTCTGTGACTTTGGGCAAGTCCCTCCAGGGTCAAAGCCTCAGTTTCCTCCCCTATAAAACCTGTAAGGAGGCAGGGAGGGAGGTTGTGGGAGCCGTTTGAGATTCTGGTGAGTGTTAACACTATCTGCTTTGGAAGAGGAACCAGGGAAGACTTTTTTCAGAGAAACACCAACTGTTGAGAGACCTGAAAGAGGGAAGTGGTTATAAGGAGGTGCCCCAGGGGAGCCCCCTTTCCTGCCTAGCCATCTGAGAAGTCCTTCCCAGCTCTTCCTGGCAGCGTTGCTCCAACTGCTGATGAGGGAAGAGACAGAGGAGCAAGAGGGAAGCTGGGGATTCTGGGAAGGGACGAGGCTGGGAAAAGAGCCAGTGGTTTTGGAGCCACAGTCCTGAGCCAAAGTCCCAGTACCCCTGTGACTAGTGAGTGAGCTTGAGCAAACATCCTTGCTCCTTGGCTCTGCTGTTTTCTCATGGGGCCTGAAAACATCCACCTCACAGCTTCTCTGAGGCTCCTGTGAAATCATCTCTTCAAGGGTGCCAGGCATGGTGCTGGCACCTTGGTGCCTCTCATCCCCTTCCTGCCAGGGGACTCCCTGAGCTTCCACGGTGGGAAGCCCTTTACCACCTATGATGCCGGCCAGGATACAAGTGGGAGCAACCGTGTGGTGACTGTCCATGGTGCCTGGTGGTGCGGATCCTGCTATCAGTTCAATCTACTGGATGTCCAAAGCCACCGCCCACAACTATGGCATCAACTGGGCCTCAGGCCAAGGAATAGGCCACCCTTACTGCAGAGTTCACATGATGCCTCCCCTAGAGCACCCGGGTAGCCAGCATCCTTATCTCTCCTCTACAGCTTCCGTACCTTTGGCTACCCCTCCCCATTGCTAACCACTGCTAGTCTCCTGTCCACATTTTAAAAATAAAATCATTTTAACCCTTTCCTAGCTTTCAAGCCTCTTTCAGTTACTGGGAGAAACTCAAGAGTGCAGAGCAGGGATACGGGTTTCAGCTTCTTTCAAGGAAGACCTTCCTTCTAGTCAGGAAGATGGGAGAGTCAGCCTCAAATGGTAATGAGGCTCTAATTACCTCCCCTCCCCCACCAAAATAAAATAATTAAATAATACAGTAATAAATAAACTAAGAAAGGGATATTAAAAAATAAAATTTTAAAAAAAGGTAGTGGGGCTTTCATCTCTAGAGGTGTGCAAGCTGAGGACACCAGAGAAGCATTTAGCGAAGGACTTGGAAGGATTAAAGCATCCACTGAAAGTACTCTTGGGCCCTACAGGTCCTGCCAGTAGATAGTTTTGTGGATGGGAATTGCACAGCTATCTCACTCTCTTTGTTGCTCCTGCCTGTCCCTTATAAGTTGTCGGTTTTCCAGGCCCTGTTGTAAGTTGAGTTCTCATTCTCTGCTACTTCTTGCCTGTCCCATTAGGGGCTGATGGGAACTCACAGTCAAACCAAGGAAGGTACATTTTTCTTCCATTGGGCAACAAGACAGTGAAATGGCAGTTGCTGAACGAGTATTTATTGAGCAGTTAGTTAATTTGCCAGAGTCACATTCTAGAAAGTGGCAGAGCAATAAATGGGTAATAATCTGATCTCTGCAGTCTGACAAGTAGTCCTGGGCTTGCATCCTGCTCTGTTATGCAGCTGAGTGATCTTGGACAAGTTACTCAACCTCTCTAAGTTCCCAGTTCCTGATTTCAGAGTCCTCTGAGGTTTACACCAGGCTGCTGCCTCACTAATTCACACTAGGTTAGGGATTCTTGGGGACTGGAGCTGGGAAGCTGCTGTACCCAAGAGCTTGAGTTCCTGGGATTCTCCTTCAGGTAGGTAGAGAAACATCTACATGGGGACTCTTCTCCCGTCCTATGGTCATGTTCTGGGTGGAGGTCAAAGGTCACCAGGGCTCCACAGCCAACTGAATTCTGGGGAAAACAGCCTCCTGGCAAAAGGGTGCAGGGTTCAGATGCAGAGTCCCATGCTCCTTGCAGGCCAAGAAGCAGACTTCTCCCATTCCAATCCCTCCCTGCCTGCACAACAGGGCCCTGGAGAACAGGCACTCTACACCATGTTCTACACACCCTGACGTCTCTGGAGATTCATTTGTTCAACAGAGAGGGCCTGCAATTCGCACTTCTGCTTCAGCCTTGGCCTGGGCACACATCCTATGAGCGCCTGCTGTGAGCAATCCATAATGGTTGTCGTGTACAGGAGCACAGGCTGTTCCGGAAGCAGCCTGCCTCAGAGATTCTGGCGGGAGAGGAGGGAGGGAAGAGGCCGAGTCCCAGGCCGCTAGGGAGCGGTGCTGCCCCAAGGCCGAGGGTGGAGCTTTCCCGGTCGGCCGGGAAAGGGCTGGGCCCGGCCTACATGTGAGGGCAGGAGACAGCGGCGGCCGGCGCTGGTGGGCACAGACGGACGGATTCCCAGGATCCCCCATGTGACTCCAAGCGGCGGATCCCTGGATGCCCTAGATTCCTGGACCCTCGATTTCAGATCCTCAGGACCTTGTAAATCGGAGCCTGGATTTCGTCCTGGATACCAAATTCCTGGTACGGGGCCTTCGGCTGTACTCCGGATCTCCAGAACTTAAGATCCCGTAGGAGATTCCCTATCCGGACCCGATTCCCGATCC